AGGAACAAGTGCCTTACTAGTAGTAACAAGAAGCTACTAGGAACAAGAAGCTGCTAGGAGCGTTATCTGCCTGCCGGGAAAAAGCGAGTTCGCTTTAGGGGCGCGGGTCAAGACCTCGCAGTTCTGCCACTAGGCACCGGCGGTCTTTGCCTGTTTAACATGATGACGTTCCAAATCTGCATCCGATAACGTAAAAACACTGCGGTAAGTTCAGTTCAAACCTCTGCGCAAAGTTTAGCCATACATCGATCACAAGGCTGTTAAAGTGAGGCTACTAGGTGGAGGCCATCTCTATTAGGTTGGAGGCCATTACTACTAGTAGCTTGTTACTAGTTACTACTAGTAAGGCACCTTGCTACTAGTAGCAAGGACGCTCACCATGTCCCACCAGGCCCTCCTGCCTTTGAGGGCCACCCTGTCCGAAGAAACCTGCCACAGATGAGCTACTAATAGCGATGCACTTGCTCCTTGTTACTAGTAGCTTCGTGCTACTAGAGTCAAATGGAGTGTTGATTCAGCTTATTTAATCCACGTGCACGGAAGAACTTGCCTCGCATCTCTGTGAGAATTTGATATTCCACGTCAGTGTCTTCATGCCGCACCTAGCTTCGGCAGAGCGTTAGGGAAGCACGCTGGAAACAAAATCACCAACCTGGTGCACGAGCTTGCAGACCTCAGTGTTAAGACACCCCTCACGACATGTCTCCTTTGTCGATGTCATGCTGCGGCCTTCTGCTGCTCCTCTGCGAAACGAGCTTTGTCCTTCCCTTCGTCCGCTGGTGTGTCTGCCTTAGGAATTCAAAAGGCAGTTCGTGAGATGTGAGTTGGAGGCCATCGCTGGTAGGCTGGAGGCCAGTGCTACTAGAAACAAAGAAAAAGAAAAGGAAGAAATGTGTCACAATCTCGCCGCGCGACACCGCACACGTTGAAGTAAAGTGCGTCCGGCAACATGCGTCGTGGACGAGAAAGCTAAGTCCGCCTTCTAAGCTAGGAACACACGCAACCGCGTAGCAGTTTATACTGTGTTGTCTTGATCATGAGCGATGCCACAGTACGCGCGAGTGAGACCTGTCCTTCACAATTGTCCTTCGCAATGGCCCTGACCATATTTCCACACACTGATAGCAAGCTTCAATTGTTTGGGTGAGTGAGCTAAAGTCGAAGGAACCTCCCTTAACAAGTTCGCAGGCGATTTCAGATGCAGAGCAGGCGGAGCAATGGAAAGGTCTGATTCGCGTCTTGGCCGAATTGGGTCGCATGCAACGCGTCACAGCAACCTAGTAGCGTTCTTGCTCCTAGTAGCGATGCCCTTTGTTACTAGTAGCTTCTTGTTACTACTAGCAAGGCACTTGTTCCTAGAAGCGATGCAAGGCCAGGAGCCCCTGATAGTGTTCTTGCTCCGAGTAGCCATGCCCTTTGCTCCTAGTAGTAAGGGCAGGTTTCTTAAGTTTCCACTTTGATATGTCCCTGCCATTGCGCTTCAAGATCCATGCTCCGTCTGCTAACAGGTTACCGTGAGAACCAAGCATGTTCGCAGCTCTGCCACAATCCGCCCTGCGCAACAGCTTGCAGGCATACTGGACATTAAGCCATCGCCATCAAGAGCAATGCCTCCGTGGCGATGCAGGAATGGCCTCCAACCTAACAGGGATCGCCTGCAACCTAGAAGCGATGGCCTCCAACCCAATAGCGCCATCAAGAGCATCGCCATCAAGAGCACACTTCAGGAAATCCGCACATCGAGGTTTACGGGGTTCACCGTGTGCGTGCTACGAAATCGGCACTGGGAGGTTCACTTGGAGTGCGACTTTTGCCGTGCTAGTAGTTAGTAGCGATGCCCTTTGTTACTAGTAGCTTCTTGTTGCTAGTGAGGCCAGGAGTGCCCCTAGTAGCGTCCTAGCCCCCTTTGCCACGAAATCTCAGTTTGAGGCTTCAGTTTGCCCCGAAGCAACTTCGACGTGTCAATCAAAGTTTGCACGCAATACTTTCCCTACTAGCGATGGCCTCCAACCTAATAGCTATGCAATACAAGAAGCTGCGGACGTAACAAAGGGCATCGCTACGAACGGAGCAAGGACGCTACTAGGGGCTCCTGGCATCGCTACGAACGGAGCAATGTTCGCTTCGAAAAGTCCAAAGTTCCCGATCCACAAAGTCTGAGCACACTAAAGACCACCCTGTCCAGTGCACTGCGGCTGCCACAAAATCTGCACATCTAAGTGAAATGGCTCCGATCTCATGAGACCACCAAAACATGAGGGCCTCCTTGCACCTGCCAGGAAAAATGACCACCACGTCAAAGTCCGAAAATGCGCACAGCCCCACAATGAGAGCGCGGTCGCAAAGCAGGCATACTGTGCTCCAGCCAAAGTACTGCGCCTGCTTCGGTAAAAATGACCATGCAACAGCCATAAATTCAGCTTGTGGCGTGAAGGTCAACCAAAAAGAGCGACGCGACAAACGCGGACCTTGGCCACATTCGTGCCTTACCCTCACTGTAGGAACCCCTTAGCTGCAAGCAACCTGTTAGGGGCCGGGAAGGAAAAAAGGGAACACATGTCTTAAAGGCATCATGCAAGAAGAAAAAATGCTTAAGGAATGCTGTGGTTGGGCTGCACTGCTCCTTACCTTTTCTTTCTTCTCTCCTTTTTGATTCTTTCTTCCTTTTTTTACACCTTCAATCCCTTCTCCTTTCCTCCTGCTGCCTGTCTTTACAACATATTCTGCAAGAATGCCCTCTGAACACCCTAAGCCCTAAGGCTGTCTCGTCGACTGTGAGAGCATCTCTTCAGGTCTCTGCATGGCCAAGCAGCTTAAGCTTGGACAAGTCTGGGTGTGCAAAATACAAGTCCAGTCCAAGCGTATTGTTATTCTGCACCGCTCGAAATCAAAACAGCCGTGACGATACTTGCTAGATTTGTTAGCCTTGGACTGAGTTCTATGAGTTTATGCATGACACACGTGTGTATGGCGTGAAAACATGAGTCACGCTGCAGTAGACAACAATTTGGAAGAGTCCAAGAATGCACATTCTCCAATTTTGACTGAACTGGCCCACACATTCTACATACTTGAGAATGAGCATACACCGCAAGAGCGTACTGGGCATCCAGTCCTCATCCTTCACGAGTGGGGAGATAAAGTTGAAAAGGGCTTTGACATCCTCGACGCTGTTCAGTGGACGGTCTTCCTGCTGAGGCTGAAATTGGCTACGACCGTCAAAACTGCTACGACCCGACCCTTGAGCGTCTGGCAATGGAACTTCCAAGCAAATTCTGTCCTCAACGATGGCTGTGACCATGGACAAAGAGACTTGCTTCCTTGTCTCAAAGTTCAGAAAGCTCACAAGTGCCTGATCCAAAGACTCAGAATCAAGCAATCCATAGCAATCCTCTTCAAGTGATCTCTTCAGTCTCTCTACAACGCTCATGCTCTCTTCTCGTCTTGTGGCATCTTAGGGCTCTGGGTGAGTGGCTGCGAAGTGCTCCATCCTTGGATTGCACAAGTGTGGAGGTAAAAAGTCAAGGGAACCCGCCTAAGCTAAGCCAAGCAAAGCCAAGGATCTTCAGCACTCCCAGTGCCAATGTTTTCATCGGCCCTGCCCTTGGCCAATTCTTGATCAGAAAGCTGTGACTGCTCACTTCTGTTTTCTATGGAACGGAAGCTCAGGCAATGACAGCAACTCGCCCACCTGATCCACAGCCTTCTCTGAGAGAGCGCAGCCTGCAAAGAAGTCGCGAGCAATTATGTCCGTAGACTGCGAAAGGTCTGCAGGCAGAATGGTAACTGAATTAGTTTGGAGCTAGTAGGTTGGAGGCCATCGCTATTAGGTTGAAGGCCATGGCTATCTTTCGGAAGCTCCGCCAGCACGTTGCGAGAGCTGGGGAAGCTTTCAGACGAAGCCTTAGCACTCCAATCGCTTCTACCTCTTACGGCGTGCGAAGGAAGCCACCTACTCCTACCGGCCTACCCCCCTCTTACAGCCAGAAATACATGCCTATAAGTATATGTGACATATGTGTATATACAGTATATAGGTCTTGGCCTCAATCATCAACCACAAACTCTGCCTGTCTCATTGAACTTCCGAAGCAAATCTGCGGCAGAACCCAGAATGATATCAACGTAGTGCACCTTGCCGCAAAAGGTTCACTGATGGACGTTGGCCGACCAGGGGTGCATGGGCCGTTGTACCTTTCACTCTGAACATTCACCTCAACCGTCGCCTGGTCGGGGTAGAGGGACACTGTGAATTGCATGAACGCTGCCAAGACCTGCAGCCGACTGTCGCCCAAAATGTACTGTAACCGAGGGAAGGAGAAAAATAATCTTACTAGTAGCTTCTTGCTCCTAGTAGCGATGGCCTCCAACCTACTTTCGATGGCCACCTAGTAGCATCCTTGCTCCTAGTAGCGAGGCCCTTTGTTACTGCACCACCGAAGCCGAACACACGAAGAACCATCACACCTCCAAAGCGGGTGCAATGTCTGCCGCACCAGTCGCCCCTTGCGGCTGAAGTGCCTAAGTAGCTCACTATCTGCTTCCCCTCGGGCACCGCAACAATGACACTCCTGCTAGCGTTCTTGCTCCTAGTAGCGATGCCCTTTGCTCCTAGTAGCGTCCTTGTTACTACTAGTAAGGCACTTGTTCCTGGAAGCGATGCACTTGTTCCTAGTAGCGTTCTTGCTCCTAGGGCAGCGACCCGTTCCAGAATTCCTTGCAAATGTGTTCGGAACAATGTGAAAATGTCTCCGGCTGACTGGACCTTCTCCGGATCTGCCTGCAAGGAGCTGCAGGAAAGAAGTATTGGGCACGGCTTTCCTTCTAGGTGCTGTAACGCTGTCTGGAAATGTGAACACAACTTATGTGGCAAACAGGGCAGTTGCAACGCACAAATGCATGTGGCAAAGCCAAGTGCTGTCGTCTGCAACTGAATGATGATCAGCAATGCAAAAATGATGCCCCTAAGGCTTCAGTCTCTGTTCTCTCTAAAGGAAGTGTCAGCTGGTCGGTGTTAACTCCGGTGGTGTGCCCCAGTGTGCCATCTGGAGTGAGAAAAAGACAACAAAAAGAAAGATAATGGTCATGGAAGAAAGGTCTACTAGGTTGGAGGCCATTGCTGGTAGGTTGGAGGCTATACCTATTAGTAACTCTTTTGCCTAATCATCTAATTTACAGCAGTCCGTCTTCAGTGTGTCTTCAATGTCTTCTCTGCTACCGCTCTGTGCCTCTGATAAGTAATTCGCCAAACGGTTCATGAGAGTGACCATGATTGGTTTCATGTCCACGCTCCTGAGGCGAGCACAAGAGTCTCTCCAGAAAAGAGCGAATGCAAAGCGTCACACAAAGGAATGTGTGAGTCTTATCTGACCACACACTTCTCTTTGATACAGCAGCCAAACGGCCCTAGGTCGAAAGCTCTTGACACCCACAAGTGCAAGCATGCCATCTCCATATTTGGCACCGGGATGGTCCAAAATATCAATACGAACATCTCTCAGTGTGTATCTGGGCCTGCCATACATCCATTCTACCCGTGACTTCCCACACCTCAAGCTCAGGAGCTGACGGCAGAGCCCGTGCATAGGCTGACAGCATCTGCTCAAGTGTACGGATGTGAAACTCATCAGGGAACACCTGAATCATGCTCTCCAGCAAGTATTGCTGAGACCTCAAGTCACTCCGCTCTTAAAACAACACGACCCGCAGTTGACAAGATACTACGCATACAAGATTCAGCAGCTTTATGGCAATATGTGCTGAGGGTTGGTGAAGAAAACAAGTGACAAAAGTTAGACTCGACCTCCGACCCACCTCGCCTTTACACAGATTGCTATATGAGCATATCCGGGTGCACGTGTATGTTTCAATATGTGCTGCACTGCTGCACGCTTGTGGAGGCACTTGCGAACAGCTCACATAGAGATGGCACCTCCGAAAGAACTCTCAAGACCAGGAAGTAGTTGGAAGACACGAGACGCGTGTGGCGGTGTTCCCGGCATGATTTGTCAAGCAATCGTTCCAGCCTTGCCATTAGGTTGGGGGCCATCGCTAGCAGGTTAAAGGCCATCGCTCTTAAGGTGGAGGCCATCACTACTGGTTTGGAGGCCATCGCTAGCTTGGAAGCCATCACTAGTAGGTTGGAGGCCATCGCTAATAGGTTGGAGGCCATCGCTAGCTTGGAATAGTAGGTTGGAGGCCATCGCTAATGAGGCCATCGCTAGTAGGTTGGATGCAATCACTAGTAGGTTGGAGGCCATCGCTAATAGGTTGGAGGCCATCGCTAGTCAGCTTGGAAGCCATCACTAGTAGGTTGGAGGCCATCGCTAATGGGTTAGAGGCCATCGCTAGTAGCTTGGAAGCCATCACTAGTAGGTTGGAGGCCATCGCTAGTAGGTTGGATGTCATCACTACTAGGTTGGAGGCCATCGCTAATAGGTTGGGGGCCATCGCTGGTAGGTTGGATGCCATCACTACTAGGTTGGGGGGCCATCGCTAATAGGTTGGAGGCCATCGCTAGTAGGTTGGATGCCATCACTAGTAGGTTGGAGGCCATCGCTAATAGGTTGGAGGCCATCGCTAGTAGGTTGGATGCCATCACTAGTAGGTTGGGGGCCATCGCTAGTAGGTTGGAGGCCATCGCTAGTAGCTTGGAAGCCACCACTAGTAGGTTGGAGGCCATCGCTAATAGGTTGGACCTGGAGGCCATCGCTAGTAGGTTGGATGCCATCACTAGTAGGTTGGAGGCCATCGCTAATAGGCTGGAGGCCATCGCTAGTAGGTTGGATGCCATCACTAGTAGGTTGGAAGCCATCGCTAATAGGTTGGAGGCCATCGCTAGTAGGTTGGATGCCATCACTGGTAGGTTGGAGGCCATCGCTAATAGGTTAAAGGCTATCGCTAGTAGGTTGGATGCCATCACTAGTTGGTTGGGGGCCATCGCTGATAGGTTGGAGGCCATCGCTAGTAGGTTGGATGCCATCACTAGTAGGTCGGAGGCCATCGCTAATAGGTTGGAGGCCATCGCTAGTAGGTTGGATG